GGCGCGCAAGCCGATTCAATGACAAGTGTTGCATAAACAAACCCATTTGCAATCTGTAAAACCAATTTACTGCAGGAAAAAAAAAATAAACATGTTATTTGCCAGCTTACGGTCGGTCCGTATGGTGAAAAACTGTGACTTCGGGCTTGAAAATGCTACCCTCGGCCTGCGACCTCGGGCAGCATTTTCAAGACCTCGGTCACAGTTTTTCACCATACGGACCTCCCAGCCGGCAAATAACACATATATTTTTCGCGAATTCCCAGGCTGCCCCTGTCGGTGATTCCGAATAACGAGCAAGAAAAAAATACACATAAATCTGATAGCGCTTTAACTTTGAAAATGTATTTTAAAAGTTTCATAATCGATTGTAAATCGATACCCTAATCAGAGAAAAGCATGCTTCAGTGCTTGTCATTTAGAGCGGTTTTCAGAGTGTTGAAAGTAAGTGGTTTTGCATCAACTACGCTACACGATTGTTCAAAAAAACTCGCTCCACTTTTTCAACCAATCAGAAATAAAACCAAAACCAATAGTGACTCGCTCGCACCCGTTTTCCTGCGCTTCGCATGAGCTACATGTAATTACTTTGAGCTTTGATTGGTTCACTGAATTTTCTGTGTCCTTTGTGATGGGCTAGAGTGATTACTTTGGTTCTGGTTTTACGACACTCAATTGAAAACCACTCTATCTGCACACTGAGACTGACTCAATTTACGTTTTCTTCATTACCAACAGGTTGGCCAGCTATCGGAGTGAAGTGGTCTGTAACAGAAAATAAGAGTAAGTTTCCTGGATCTGTTGGAAGTGTTTAATTTTTGGCTCGGACAAGATTATTGAGAAACTGAAGAAATTAACATTTACACCCAAGTTCTAAACAATCTTCAAAATGAAAATCGGCAAATCATGCAGTTATTTTATTTGACATTCAGTGGCCCAAATGCCTGGGAACAAACAATAATAATAATGATAACAAAATTCTCAAAGCTGATTAGTTATCAGCCAGCCTTGTCGGAGCCTTTTTTTACTAGATAATTTATGTCATGCTTCGTGTTACTGGACAGCACATGTCATTTGCGCACGCTGTTGTAGGTAACGTACGCTTGAATGAATCATTTCTTTCTCCAAGAATCTCGAGAACAATTAAATTACTTTTTTTCACCACAAAGTTAAACCTTTCGCCTTTTCTTTTCTCAAATTTTGTTACAGCTATGATTAATTGGTAACAGGACTTCGTGTCGTCCAATTTGGACTGTAATCATACTCGTGATTAAACAAATCTGACTCCCGATTCGCGGTCGTACGATTCCGTTTACCATTTGTATGTAATATATCAAGCATGTACGAAAGACCGTCTTTGACCACATTTCCAAGCACCGAGAAGAGAGTTGAAAATACGACGCGGAGTATTTTTGACGAACTTTGAGGTGTTTGGAAACGTGGTCAAACACTGTCTTGAGTATTTGATATATCTTCTCAATCAAAACTAAAACTAAGGAGAAAACGGAGAAATAAAATCGTAAAAATCTATGTTAATTAAGATCAGATATTTAAGCACTGTCACAGTCATGATTTCCTTTGTTTAATTTCATGAATTATTAATGAGTTTGAGAAGATTAGTTTACTGAGGACTCGACACCTACTTATTACCATTACATAGTCTATGCGCACGCGCGTATTGTTCAAGTTGCTTTTCATTTCGACAGTTACGCCACATCAGTCAACCTTGTCTTTGTTTACTATGGTCAAGCAAGCACACTTGCTATCTGAAGAACAACTTGAACAAATAAAAGAGCCAGGATTCAACAAACACTATAAACAGACTTGCAGACCAGCCTTGAAGAGAAGCAACCCCTCACGCAAAGCATTTGGCTCACCTGCCGAGAAATTCACTAAAACGACCCTCGATATCGAAATCAAAAATTCCAGTGAATATGGACAGTTCTTTTCCCAAGAGGAGGCCAGTAACGATTGCAAAGACGCTTCTCGCATTTACGCTGACCAGGAAGTACCTGTTCAGAATGAGGAAGTAACCAGCAACTCCACGGGGAAGGCAATGGAAGTTGTAGACGAACAAATTTCTGGCAACCCTGTTTCGAAAGTGAGCTCTTTCGGTGAAAGACCTTCCTTTAATTCCGAAAGCAACAACTTGAACTGGCTAAGTTCGACAGGAGATCACTTTCACATTGAAAATGCACCTTTCTACGAAGAGCCGAAAAAAGGACCGTGTACCAAATCTTTTTGCTCAAAATTTTCCCAAAAACACCATGGACATTTGTTGAGTGTAAATTCCCCGGAGAAGGAAGGTTCGTCTGCATATGGAACAGCTAAAGCTTCCTCAATGAACGGTAAACAGGAAGGTGGTGAAACATGCCTGACTGACCAGCTTGGGAAAAACTCAGAACTCTTAGGGAAACAGCAGATATTGATAATCACAAACGAGGAGGATCCAAGTCATAATGAAGTCCAAGTGGTACTCAGTAAATCGCCTATCACTTATAACATTGCATGCAAGTATCCTCCATTACCTGAGAACACTGGCTTGTGCTCGTCTCTGTGCGCTATAGACGAAAGAGCCCTTATAACTGACGTAAGTCTTATTTCAGTACTTATTTATTTATTTATTTATTTATTT